CACATTTTTATTTTGAGCCTGGTAGTATACAACATTAGGAGCTGGTGTCGATCCTTGTCCACTTTGCTGTCCTGGCTGTCTGCCTTGGCCTCGTCCATGTCCCTTCTGTCCACTGCTGCCCTCTGCGCGTCCACTTGATCCTGGGCGCCTCGACATCTGGGCAGCCAATGCAGCGTCCCTGGCCAGCTGGAAAGCCTGGCTCAGCCTCTTAGGCTTTCCCTGTGAGACAAGTACCGCCTGATCTTGGGGAAGGCCCCAGATGAACATCTTCAACACCCATGATTCATCATAGGTGTCCACCTTATCCAACTCAGCCTCGAACCTACAGATGAAATCATGCGTGGACTCCTCTTTCCTCTGCTTGATGTTCATCAATGCAGCCATTGCAGAATCAGCCTTGTTGGTGTTTTGAAACCGGCTGATCAGCTGCTCTTCGAAGGTCTGCATGTCCTTGGGGTCCTCCCATGCCTTCAGCTTTCTCTGCCACCAGGTCTGTGCAGTTCCCTGGAGCAGAGTGGAAGCATATGCAACTTGCTTCCCAGGCGATCCTCCGACCAGACGAAAAAAATTCGACACCTGACCCAGCCACACCTCCGGGTCTTCAGATGTCCTGCCCGAAAATGTTGGAGGGTCCTTTGGTTTTATTTGGACGTCAAAAATTCCAGCCCCCTTGCGAGTGCGTCTCCCTGATGACTCGCTCGATGATGTCGTGTCAGAACCGGGCGAACGTGCATGCCGCGACCTGTGTGATCTGGACCTCTGTCGTCCTGGACGGGCAGCATGGCTGGTCTGTGCAGGTGGCATCGTCTGATTGCCAGCATCAGCAACAATCTCCACCTCCTGCTGCAAATACGGAGGTCTGCTGTATGTAACTGCTGCTGGTGGCTCTGGGGGTCCAGGCAGAGTTTGCTGGCGGGGCTGAGAATCTTTTTGCGACCGCTCTATGGCCAGGTCCGCAGACAACTGATCGATCCTGGACAGAGCGTCATGAAGCTGTCGAGTAAGCCGCTCGACAGTCGCATCCTGTTCCCTCCTCAGCCTTTGTTCCGTATCCAAATTCCTTTGCCTCTCGTGTGCCAATGCATTCTCCAGCTCTGAAAGGCGCTCAGCATTGCTGGAAACATTTTGATGCATTGACGACATAGCGGTCTCAGTCCGCCCAAACGCCTCCCTGGTCTGACCCTCCAAATGTGAAACTGCCCTCTGAGATATCTGGGCAGTATGCTGCACTGCTGATGCCGTCTGATCAGCCAGCACATTCATGGCATGTGCTGTCTGGGCGGCAGTCCCTGCAATCGCCTGTGCAGCTCGCTGCTCCAAGTTCTGCATCCCCTGTGCAGCTTCAGTCCTGGAGACCAGGGCACCCTCTGGGTTTCCCAAAACCACTGCCCCCGGCTCTGTCCCGGCAATCAGAATCCTCTGTTGCCGCGCCTCATATGACGCAGCAATAACTCCTACACGTCCAGCTCCGGCGACTGTCTCCACTGTCCCGTCAATCTCCTCCACACCATCATGGCCCTGCAGCTCCATCATATCACGATCTGCCATGATCCCACACACGACACTGATCCGATGATCAACTGTACTGAAACGAAGTCAATCGGAGTAGACCTGATCTCGGGCTACTGCAAGTCCACTGAATCCTATCCCCAAGTAGCCAAGCAGCCTTTACCTCCCAACTTAAGTTATCCTGCTTCTACTGGTTTTCAGTAATCACTTTCACACACAGTTACCCCCAGTACTCTGCAGGGTGACCTCTCGGTCCACCTGGTAACTTTCCAGAGGGTGCGTCTGTGGCTACTAATGAAAACTTAGTCCTAGCTTCAGCCGAACAACCTAAGAAGGTGTCCCTTGCCTGGGACGAGACCGCTGTAGGAGGTCTGGGTTGGCCTATGGCACCCCCAGCCTGTCTAATATTTGAAGACTCAGCCACCCAAGGTTCCGAAGGGGTGACTGGCCTGTCTACCTCAGGTGGGCAATGGCCTCACCCTCTGACCGGTTCCAGGGGAGATGCCTCCTCTAGGAGGTAGCACTCTGGACCCAACTGGGCCTGCCTACTGCCGTGCTCAATCTCCTCCCCCTTCCCCTAATCAGGCCCCCAATCTTGTGGCAGAGCGGTCTGGTGGTGACCCGCCTGCAGTACCTGCAAAATAAGGTGAAGCAGCAGATGTCCCCTACTTCTAGAGCGGGACCTTCACCCCTATTCTACAACGGGTGGCACCTGAGGTTGACGAAATCTTACAACTGAGGGGCGCTGGCCTTCGCGTGTTCGGCTACACGATGGGCGCCTGGCGCATGCACTGAATCCGCAGCTAAATCCGCGGATCTGGCGATCGCCCAGCGCCGTCGATCCCCGAACACCAATCGCCCAACTGAAAGCTCCTTAGGCTCGCAAAACAACCTCCCGCAGGCACACAGCAAGGCGATTCAGCACCCGCGGAGGTGCTGACCGCTGCCTGAGGCGTTGGAGGCTTCTGGAATCCTGCAGCTCCTCAGCTGCGCGGTCACTCTGGGTTGCTGCGCCTCTCGCTCAGCTCCCGGCTCCGGGCTTCGCGCTCCGAAACCAATTTGTTGCGGCCCCGTCGGCAGCCGCTGGTTTCCGGAGTCGTGGGGGTCGCCCTGCCCTGCGGCTCGGCTGTTGGAGGTCAGCCGGCGCTCTCCACCTTGGATGATGGGCGTATCCGGGGCAGTCGTTTCCTTGGTCGCGCGGTGGGCCTAATGCTCGACGGGGATCGATCCCCGGGGCCTGCTGTCGGCGAGTGGTGGCGGCGCAGCGAGGCGGTGGTTCGCTGGCTCGCGGGAGGCCAGAGAGTGGGCCAGAACAGTTACACGGATTCACAGCATGCGCGCGCACATATCGCATGCGCGATGCCCGATCGCGGGTCCATCGCTGTCACATCAAGACAAGACAAGTGCGCGTCTAGGCACATCATCACCGTCCACCGTTCACCTACGATCGACCCATTGTCCTCTAATTCCAAGCGTCTAACACCCGACCCCCTGGCCCCAAGTACTACAACTTCAGGAGGCCATATCTTCGTCAATTCTTAACGGAATCGGGCGTTTAAAAGCTCGTTGGAACCAGGAAGCTCTTAATAACACTCACAAAACGTCTATTTGGCCAATTACGTAATCCTACTCCAGAAAATGTCAAATAACTGCCTTACCCCAAGTAGCCACGTCACAGCCGGAAAGAGCTGAGCGCAGTGGAATACGCGAGGTTGTTCTTTGACAATGTCTTCAGAATTTCTGGTATACCTCGTGCGATTATCAGTGACAGAGATCCCAGATTCCTCAGTAAATTCTGGCAAGAGCTATTCAGACTTCTTGGCACCAATTTGCGTATGTCTACCGCGTACCATCCGGAGACGGACGGTCAGTCCGAGGTCTCCATACGCACACTCGGGTGGGGGGGGAGATATGATACGGTGCCTCTTTTAGATGGCCTAGATGCATTTAATTGGCGAATAGGGCCGAATCCGGGTCGCCGGGGACGAACAAACATTGAAACGGACAAATCAAACAAATTACATGGTGTACATTTAAATGTAACGCCCCGAGAGCCCGAATGACTCCCCGTTCATTCCGCTTCGCGCGCCCCGGGAGCAAGAACTCCCGTACCAACTACGTCCAAGTCCTCTTTCTGCGTTCCGCTGGGCTGTGGGTCAGCCAAGAGGCGAAGGCGATGGTTTGGCAACCTCTGCGATTCGGTTTCCTGTGTGGTTTGAAGTGGTCTTCGATAAGCTGGAAGTGTCCTGCTCGGTGAAGGAGTCGGTGGACGTGTGGTGGTGTCGCTGACTGCCATACGGACCAGCGAATTGTGAGCTGGTTGTCTACTCTGTGGCGTACTTCGTTCGAGCCTGCTTGCTGGAGGAGCGAAGCTTGTCTGAGTCTACATTTCTGCCCTAACAGCACTATGTCGGACAGGGTAACGTTGCAATACCTCAACACAATCTTTTAATAATATTGGCTATATCAAGCTAGCTTGAGATTAAATCCAATCAAGATCATCCTCTAGATCTTTTTATCAAAGAAAGTTATAGACATATACCACATCTATAGGCAAGACAAGATGCCATAATGTTGATATGACATCTAATGTCAAATGTCTCTCAACACACTATAATAAAATAGGATCAATTGTTATTCGATATGAACCTTTGTTTCAAACAACTCCATTTCTGTGATAATTGGGAGTTGGCTTAACTTTGTGCTTATTGACTACCATCAACATACGGGTGACCTGCAACATGCTTGCCATCACATGGTGGAAGTCGAAGACAACACAAGCAATTGTTCGCCATATGACTAACCCTTACAAAGACCCAATTGGGCGACAGGATAAATGCCCTCCGGCGAACTTAATATTGATTAAAACTCATCCGGGTGATGGCATCACCCTAGATTTTAGATGTAGTGCGCCATGTTGAAAATCCAACTGGTCGGCGGCCGTTCCTCCATCAACTATGGGTCAGAGACAACTCGGCCCTGATGATGATGATTACAATTCGGCCATGGAGTGGTCTGAATATTGTACCAGCATCGGAGCCAACAATGCTGCCCTCCCACCCGAAATAATATTACAACCTGCACCAAATCGGTGACTGCTTGCACCAAGTCGCGTGCACACTTTGTCCTAACCTCAATTTTAGGGTTAGGTTTAGTTTCAGGGTGAGTTTTAGGGTTAGGGTTAGGGTTAGGACAGGTTTAGGTTTAGTTTTTAGGGTTTAGGTTTTAGGTTAGGTTAGTTTGGACGGAGTTGGACATGATGTGCACGTGACTTGGTGCAAGCAGTCACCGATTTGGTGCAGCCAGTAATTTATTGCCCCCCACCCAAAGTCGCAAAGTCGCAAGCTTGCAGCCAATACCATGTGTACATTTTGGCGCCACACCGAAGCAGCCAAATCTGTCTCAACCTCCCGCCTTGGCCAGGCTCCAGGAGAAAACAGCGGCGAACGGCGGCGGGCCACGGCGCGCCCCCGCGCGGCTCCCCGTCCGCGATGGCCGGCGAGGTGGACATGTCCACCGTGGAGGCCGCGCTGTCCAAGCGCGAGGCGTACATCATGAGCAACATGCAGTGAGTGGTTCTCAGCGCCCCACGCGTGCTGCAGAGTGGGCCGTGCACGGGCGGCTCGCCGCGGGATCGTCACGTGCGGGCGCACTCGCAATCCACGACGGCCTGATCTCCATTGCCGCTGGTGGCGACGGCTGGCCGGCCGTCTAGACGCATCAATCCAGCACGCCCCCCGCAGGTTGCGGGTTTGTCGGCGTGGGGTGGTGAGCAACCGAGCCTGACCGCTTGTGTGGGTGCCGCCCGCGCGCCTCAGGACGATGGGAATGAAGAGCATGAGGCGACTGGTGGAGGCGGATCTGGGCCTGCCTGAGAAGGCGCTGGATGGTCAGAAGAAGGCTGTGAACGCCCTGGTGGACAAGGTGCGGCCTGCGGCGGGGCGATTGCCTCGGGCTTCGCTCGCTGCGCGGATCGCTGTGTGGCCATTGCATTTCCACCGGCGCTGTCGCTGCTGGAGTCGCGCCCCCAGGCCAGCCAGAAAACCGTCGGCGCGACATGGGGCGTCACATCGGCGGGTCTCGTCGCTTCCAGCGCCGGCACGTGGATCGATCGCGCGATGTGGGACCGGACGGACACTTGCTGATGCTCTTTGGTTCCTGATGGGCAGGCTGGCATTGCGCGGCGTGCGCACGCAAGACGATGGACCCGCTCCCTGTAGACGGCGTTCGATTGCTTGTGATGCCTCGCGTTTGCTGCATTTGGTGAGGCAGGCCCTTTCGTGCCATTGGCGCTGGCACACTTGTGCGCGTCCAAGGCGTTGGGTTTGTTCGCCATTGTTGACAGAATCTCAGTCCACCTTTGAGACAGCGAGCAAGGGTGGTCATGACTGGCATGCTGGTAGATTTGTGAACATCAGGTGGAAGTCTGTGAGTGTATGGTGGACAGTGCACATGCCAAACTCTGCTACGCCCACTCCTAAATTCTGGATGGGCAAATGGCAGTTAAAACTACATTGGAGCCGTCCTGACCTAAGTTCCTCTTCCACTGTGTGAACAGACAGATGTTGCAGAATTGTGGACAGCATGTGCTGCAGCATTGTGTCATCGTGATTTACTCAATGGCATTCACAGATTTGAAGGGGCTTTCTCTGGCCGAAAGGAGTCTTATCGCTTGAAGATGTTAAGTTATTCTCCAACGTTTCATTCTCGTTCATTGAATGATCGCATGCTGGTCATTTTGCTAAGCCACTTTTGCCGTCTCCAGGCAGCATGGTGTGGCATTTGATTGTGCACACCACCTGAATATTAAAATGCCATGCATCCCTGGACGATTGCTCTGTGCCATTCTTGGTATCAATGTCCTTGCCCTGGTCACTGCGGACCACAATGTCCTGATGCAGATGCAATGCTTTGAGCGCAACATGTGCACATTGCACCAACATTAATCATTGTGCACATACGCGTGTTGCAGATGGTTGACACTTGGCTAAAACACAAGAACCTACCCACAACTGAGAGCAAGCCCAATGGGTCTGCTGTTGAGCTTTATGCCAAATCCCCAAGAAAAACCCACAGTGAGCCAGGGAAGACAGCTTCCAGTAATCCCTCAAAAGGGTCAGGGAAGGCACCCAAGGAAGGTAGTGTTGCTGGGAAGGCAAGACGAAGGAGTGATGCAAAGGATGCCAGTGAGCACAGGCTCAAAAAGAAGGCGCGGCTGGCAGGAGGCACAGCTGCAAATGGCTCTGGCAATGGGGCAGCCCAGGACTCTGCTTCGACAGATGGGGAGTGTGGCCATGTGTTTGCAAAGAGAGGTGAGAGCAGGTGACAGCCTCCCAGGCGATCTGGTGCCAAACTTGGTGCTTTGCACACTTGGCCACTGAATTACAGGGTGATGGATGTCTGGTGCATGAACAGTGCCAAAATTTGCAGGCACGCTCCTAGAAATGACCACGGCTGTGAAGCCGATTGGCTGATTGCATTGGGGGAATGTCCTGTACATTATGTCTCAGCCATCTTACGGAGTTTGTGTGGTCTGTGTGTATTTCATGCACAGATAAACCTCAAGGGCCGATTCAGAGCACAAGAATTAAAAAAATGAAGCAGATGCTGAAGGATGCAACTATCAGGCATGTTTTCCATCGTCATGTGCTGCTTCAAAAAATGCCCTCACGCTGATGACCGCTCAAAAACTGATGTTGGCCAATCTTCATAGGCAGCACTGGCTGTGGGATCGATTGCAAGCAAATGGCATGATTCTCTGGTGACTGTCTGGAGAAAGCTTGTCTGGAGAAAGCTAGTTTGTTGCCTGACTGCCAAGCACTGGTTTTGCTGACATGTGGTGCTGCTGGCAAGGAATTTGCTTGGGTGCCAGTGGTACAGTGCGGAAGTGTGGCGATCAGAAGAAAAAGTATCTAGCGGACTGAACTCAAGGGCATTCTTGAACGCTGTAAATGGATCGCACTACTGAACGAAGCTATCTCTGTGCACACAAAACTACTGAAACAGGGAGATCTTGAAATCACACATACGTCCGCACTTGCGACTTCATTCGATTGCTTCAGATTGTGCACAACAGACTTGGCCAGGGTGCATCTTTTGTTGGACAAAGGGGATATGAAACTAGAGCTGGATTGATGTGGGAACATATTTGGCTGTGACAAATGACAAGAAAGGCGATTTGGTTGGCCAGGATGAGGGTTCCTTACCCGATCGCTGCAGGGCATACTCTGACATCATGATCAGATGCTGTCCTGATAGTGCAGCTGCAATTCCATGGCGCATATGCTTGCCACAGGAGATTGCAAGGATTGTTTGAATACTCTGGCCTGGAGTGAAATGTGCCTGCCACCCTCTCCATGTTTGCTAGCAAATATATGTCTCCCTTTGGGCTTCAGGTCATACCAACTGTTGGGTTGGTCCAGTTGTCGATTTTGGTTGTTTCATGTCACCAGTACTGTTGTTACTGCTATTGCCACATTCACTCTAAATGTTGCAGTTTTTGCCATTGCTTGTGGCCACACTGTGTTTTTGACGATGTATGGCAGATTTGGCTTAGCGGCTTGTCAGATGCAACAACAGATCTCATATGCATGATGTGTGTGGAGGCTCTGGCAGTTGAGGCCTATATGAGCAGCTTGGAGTGACACATTCAGGATGCATACATTGGTCCTGGTAGCCTAATTGGTACATTGACATCGCAAATCAGCACAGATGAATGGTGTCAAAGCAAAGTGCACATAACCGTGTTGTTTGTCTCTCAGGCAGTTGTGTTTGCTTTCTTCCAGGTTTGGACCCTCTCTGTACAGCAAGAACAGAGATGAAGCCAGCCTGGCTGCAGCCCTGCTGGCCCTGCTCTCCAACCATGGGTTGAGCTTGAATTCTAATCCCCGGGAAGTGCAGAAAGTGCGCAACAAGCTGCAGCTGGCACGCGACTTGGAAGGCATCGACACCAGCAACATAATTGAGAATGGCTCAAGAAGACGGTCAGCAGTGCCGATCCGTAACAGGTCAAGGTGTGTAATTGAGCACCTCTAAATACAACTTGCAGTGGAGTCGGTCCTGGCCAAAGGAAAAAACATCTAATGGTACTTATGCCTGTGCTGAGCAAGAACATTTCCAAGACCTTTACAATACTGCAGACTTCTTCAAGTGTTGCAGAGTTCTTCAAGTGCAGCATCAAGACATGCAGACCGCAACCAAATGTGCAGGACAAGCTGTTTGTCAATCTTCTGATTGCACTTGCAAGGCGGTTGTGGTCGTAGACTGACTTGGGCTGGGAATCGTGTCGATCCTCTCAGCCCACTTGTCAGAGTGCCGCAGTGTGGTTCTCTGCTATTGCGTTGTCAGTGGCATGATAGATTGTTGTTCTTGCACCTACCATGCAAATACAAGTGCATTCTGCACAGCAGCAGAGTGCCTGGCAGAATTGTTCCCATGGTTCCATCGGGCACCCCCAAAGAACTGCCACTGTCCAGATGGAAGAGTAACTGAAGCTCCTGAGATTGGAAAAGATGTGGCTATCTGTCTTCATAGTGGTGGTAAAAACAAGAGTGTGCCCTGTTCCCACTGCCATTGTGCCTGACTAGCTCATCATGGGGCCCTTGGTCGCTGCCAATTGCCATAGTTGCTTCTCATGCCCTTGTTCTCTGTTTTTGCGTCAAAAGGTGGTTGCTGCTGCTGTCGATCAAAAGGCTATCGTCCAAATGGTGTCAATCAGTATTTCGGAAATTTTCCAAAGGTATCTGCCCCAATCAGAGCCAAATGGTGGGCAAGTTCCGGTACTAAGGTGGACCAGCACATATGGTGTGTAATTCGTTTTTTGTGTCAATGTTGACAGCCACATTTTAGTCTCTGTGAGGCAATGTGTCCATCTGCAAAGGGTTTCCTAAACTACTCTCAGGAAACTAAGCATGCAGCTGTTGTGGTGTGCAGTGCTGTGTATGCCAAGTTGCCTGGGCCCCAGGGCGAGTGCTCATCTCCAGGTGAGGAGAGTGGAGGCAAGCACAAGCACCTGGGCACCAAACAGAAGGCAATGATCAATGACAAGGACGGCGATAGCGAAGTCGACCACACCAGCAATGGCGAGGATAATGTATGCAACAACGATAGCGATGAGTTTGTGCCGAGTCCGGCTGTGGCAGGGCGGCATCGTGCGCCTCAAGGGACATCTGGTGATGAGCTTTCAGATTCTGAAAGTGAGGAAAGTGGGGCCAGAGGAGGGCACAAAGAAGATCAGCGGGTTGCAGCGAATTCAGCACCATCAGAACCACAAATGGCAGGTTTGTTTTGTTGGTTTGCTGCTGTGCTGAATTGTGCAACAGTAGGGAGGACAGTTGGTATCCACTAGGTGGTGCAGTGTCTAGCTGAAGTTGTATCTTTGTTGCTCAAAGTTGTGTTTTCGGTTGGTGTGCTCCAAACCCAGTGCTTACACTGCTGAAGAGCTTTTGGTTCACTACTGAGCTTACCACATGATAAAGTCAGGATTGCCACATTCTCCTTCAAGCAATGATTCTTCCATTAAGCAGATGAAAAGCATGTTCTGTTGTGCACAACCCTCTTTAGAAAGATTGTCTGTGAGACTTGTATCTATTGTGTAGAAGATGTTATGCAAATCTCTGGGTGCAGCAAGAAGACTACCCAATACAGAGCAGCATGATGCTGCCTCCAGCCGATGCTTTGCCTCCCTGTTTGTGTTGGACAGTTAATCAACATTCACTGTGTGAGTGGGGCCACTTGCTTCTTATTCATTATTGATCCTATTTATTCCAAGTAATTTTGCATAGCGTTTCGGTGCTTGATGTTGCTGATGCCCACCAGCTTCAAATGAATTGGAGAGTGTTGCACCTCGTTCCAACCCCTGCTGGCAGCTCCCGCATTATGACAACAGACCTATCCATGAATGGGGGTGGTTGTCATCGACATGTGCAACAATTATTTGGAAAAGGAGATGTGCCCTCACTGCATGGGTGTGGGCAGGTTTGGCATGGTTTGTGCTGGTGCACGAGGCCCTGCGCAGCCACACTATTTTTGTTTTGAGATCTCAACATTCCAAAGGGTTTGCCATCAATTGCCCACCATTGGAGAGCTTTGGACGTTGTCTTGTATGAATGTTCAGGGAAGGTGTCATCCTGCAGTAAATTGCATCCTGTGGTGATGATGGTGCGGTCGTGACATACAGCCAAACTGAAGGATATTTGCACTTTGCTCACAGCTCTGTTTACGGTTTTCAGCACCATGTATGTTCCATCACATCCAGTTGATTTGTCTGAGGAATGTGGTCTGGATAGAAGTATGTTGTGGGCATGAAAAGGACCAAGCAATGTGCGAAATGCACCTGTCGGTGTAGTCCTGTCAAAGTTATTCAGGAAAGTTACAAGCTCAGACTGCTGCATGCGCTGCACACATGGCATCCTCTGATTAATCCGGTGCCACGGCTTCGGGTGGTTGTACGGACTATCCAGATGGTACTCAAGGCCCTGAGTGAAGATGAGTTAAAGAAGTTCAACCGGAATGAAATCTAGTCAAAGGAGCTTGCTTTGTATTAGCAAGTCAAGTGCAGAAATAGTGGGTGAAAGAGTGTAACAATCGGTGCCCAATCTCAGGCATCAATCAGTGGCTTATTTGATGCCGTGATTGTTCCACCAACTTGTGCATGAATCGGTGCAGCAAATGATGCACCAATTGGTGCGTTGATTGTGGCGTGGCAATAAAACGCTGCTTTTTTTCCTGTTGGCGTTTTTTTTCATCCGCACTGGTCTGTCAAACGAGCGATCAGGATTAGCATGGGCAAGGATGTGTGGGTGCTGGGAGGCCCACAGGCAAAGCCCAAGGCGGGGCGGCCCAGGTGCTGGCTGCCAGCGCCTTGGCAGCCCTGCGATAGACTAGAGGTTGACCCCCGCTTGGCCGGCACCGTGGCAGGCGATCACAAAAGGCTGGTCATCCTCAGCGCTGACTGTCGCCGGCGCTTGGAGCGTTCGCTGGCCCAAAACGAACACCAAAGGGTGCCGAAATGGCCAGCCTTGGCTGGGCGTTTGGTGCTTCTTTGTCATTTGCTGCTGCAGCCAAAATTGGTGAATGGAGACGCAACCTGCAACTAGGGAGTGGGGGCAGCGATTGGGCTCCCGCTCCCGACGCTTTGTGGTATCGCGTTTGGGATTTGTGCCGGGGCGCTGCGTGTTACATGCTTTTTTTTCGATTGGCAGAGTCGCCACTCGTGGCCACCGATTGTTGCCACGCATGAGTGCCAAGGTTGGCACCCAAAGATGACCGCACCCGGTTGCAGCGAGCAGCGAAAGTGGCGGAGTGGGAGGCCATAATCGGCCTCCCACTCCCATCGCTTTGTGACCACGCATTGGCACTTTCTCCTGCGCCCTGTGCGCTGCACAATCTCCAACTGGCCGCTGGGATCTGGCCTTCGTGGGCACACTGATTGTTGCGACCTGCAGGTGCCAATCTAGGCGTCCGCTGGTTGCCATAATAGGTGGCAGTGAGGGCCGACAGCGGTGGGAGGCGGTGATTGGCCTCTCACTCCCTTCGCTTTGTGGCGACACATTCACCGTTGTCGCCCGCAGTTTGGGCGCCAGGCGTTGTCCTATTGACCCGTGGCATCTGCCCCTCGTAGCCGCCGATTGTTGCCAGCTGCGGGTGCCGATCTAGGCATCTGCGGGTGGCCACGATCGGTGGCCACGAGAAATAGAAACGGCAAGATCGCAGGGGCCGATCGGCCTCCCACTCCCGCAACTTGTGACATTATGCTTGTGGTGTTTGTGGAGCTGGTGCTTGTGGCGCTCGTGACCCAGCACCGGCCACAACCCGGCATTCTTGAGGGGGCTTGCCCTGACCCAGCACCGGCCACAACCCGGCATTCTTGAGGGGGCTTGCCCCGGCAGTGCAACACAGGGCGTTGTTTCTGTCACAGGCCAGCTGGCCGCCGTGCTATAGCCTCTAGTGGGCGTTCTTCTACTGACTTGTGAAGCCAGCGACCTTGCGCCTGTTGTAGCGTCTAGTGGGCGCTCTTTCAGTGGTCTGCAAAGCAGTAATGGTGCCCCAGCGTAAGGCCCGCACTGCTTTTGCTTTGTCCTTTTTCATGCACGGCCATAAGTGTTTACCTGCCGTTGCAGGCCATTGGCACCCATGCCTGCTGCAGCTGTTGCAGCTCACATCGCCATGCGCGTCCACACACGCCAAATCCCTCAGGCGGCTTGAGGGGCAGACGCAGATGGCGGAAATGGCTGGATTTGGGGCGAGGATGGTGGCACATCCCGTCACTGAGGCAGGAGAGCCACACGCCACACCGCACCATCTGCCGTCTGCCATTTCGCTTTGTCGCGCTGCTCCGCTCTTCCCCGTGGTTGCGACAGCCATGTTGTTCCTTGAGTTGCAGCCCGCACGTAAAAAGCTTTCAGTGAGTTTAAGCATGGTTTGTCATTGGTTGGGGCTTTCACCCTCTGACCTGGCCACGTTCGCGACCTCAAGTCGCCTGGCTCCCGCCCCAACGCCCGCTCTGCAGCGGACGTCGGCAAACCTCGTGGGGCACCAAGGGCAACACACGCCAATTGCCTGCGTCGAAAGCTTACCCTTCCTCCAATGGGGCTATGGCCTGCGTCGCCAGGCGTGGCATGGTCCCCAAGGGCCCAACTTGAATGCCAGCATGGCAAGGGGTGTGTTGACATGCTGCGGCGTTGCCGCAGTGGTTTGCACTGTACTGTGTGCAGGCCTGGCTTGATTGATGGTGGGCGAGTGTTTTGAATACCGCCGGGTTAAACCAGATAATGATAGTATGTGTTGGCACCACTCTTCACCTGCAATGTGCGCTCTGTAGAAACACTGCAACGTCCCTGACAATGGTGTGATTGCACCAGGAGAAGGGCAGGAGGAATGGTCCTAGGTCAGCAGCTCAGAAGGGTCCGATCACAAAGATCAGGACGATGATGAGTAGTTGGTCTGTGTGCTGCATCAATTTTGGGACAAGGGGGAAGTGAGGGATAGCATAGAGGTTGTGGCTTTCGCCTTAAGTCATGGAGGATCGTTTTCATAATCGAGCAAATTGAGCCCAGCCACCTGAGGAACCATGGGGGGGGGGGTTCCATGGCCGACCACAGTAGCCAGGCATAGGCTGGTCATGTGGGCTCCATTTGCCTTTTGCAAGGAAAGGTGCTTTGGCTTGCTTGGCCTGTTTAGTGCACACAAAGTCTTGGAACGTGGGACCAACTCGTTTGCAGCAAGCTTCTTTCTATTGCATTGTCGCCATCCATTCTGCTCGCAATCAGGCTAGCAACTGGTCAATAAGCAACAATGCGCAATTCCCTGTTGAACGTTTGCCATCGGATACCGCAATTGCATTTTGTCGGAAATCTTGGGGGAACATTTCCACAGCTGTGTTAATTCAGCCATAAAGTTGAAGCTGTTGTTATGTGGTGGAAGCCTGGCCAAGTGCAGTGTGTCATGCGGCGGCTGCATCATGTTGTCAGACACAAATCGCAATTCCCCGGAACTTGCGCCAGTGCATTAGCGAACTGCATGTCCAAGCAGCGACATGAGCGTTTTTACTGTGTCTGCTCGCTGCATGATAACCACTGCTTCAGTCTGCATTTCCGCAGTACTTCTGTCCCATACCCGCAGACCGCCAAGTACGTCGAAACGCCATGTCATATGTTCGGGTCACCAAATTGTTATTGAGTATTGTTATGAACGTGAATGTATTAGCAGTCCAGCGGCCTATGACAGCAAGAAGAACAAACTGAGCCCATCCAGGAATTCTGAACGAGGACAGTGAGAATTCCACAAGGTTCCAGTCTTACATTAGGGAAGACACTATTTTGATTTTTGTACGCTTGACGTCAAATTGACATAAAGCTCAGACGACCACCACCCTTCTAAGCTTCAATCCTTATTCCAATGCCAGGATAACTCAGCAATATTACCTAACAGTGCCATACAACTTCAAAACAATTTTAAGGAAAAAATTGGCCAAAATTATAGCGATTGTGGTGATTTGAAAAATGGGATGCAAAAAGCGACGATATGCGATGAGAGCAGCCGAAAAGCCTGCAAATTTATCCACTCTCAGGACTACCTGGATGATTGAAAGTTTGAGGGACGTTTTGCAACAAGCTATGAGCAATTTGCTGCTGATCGGCGGCGTTTTGGTGCATCTTCCCAACTTATTTTGGTTTGGTGCATTTACATAATTGTCCCACCATTCTCGAAAATGGGGACAAAAACGAGAATGATGTTCGAAGATGAACGCAGATGGAAGACGTTTGGATGGGCATTGTCACATCAGCAACAGATGATGATCATTTAATGCATTTGCAGTTGTAGAACTCCATGCGCTCGAGCACAGAG